TCTCTCTCTCTCTCTCTCTCTCTCTCTCTCTTTCTCTTTCTCCTTCCCTCCCCATTATTGGGGGTTGAACCCAGGGCATTTACACTGGACCACATCCCAGCTCTCCCTTGCTAAGTGACTAAGTTGCCTAGGTAAGAGTTGAACTTGGAATCCTCCTGCCCCGGCCCCCCACCCCCAAGTGCTGAGGTTGTAGCACATGCTGCCATACTTGGCCAGTCCAGCTCTTTCTTTAAGCCGTATGTCACTGCCCACAGATCTGTTCCTTAATGTGGCACGAGGCTTTAGCATGCCTTCTCTCTGTTTGCTGATGGATGACGGCAGCTGAGGGGGCGTGTTTTGAAGGACTTTGGAGCTAGAGGCAGACACCCAGGTTTGCTTTGAAGGGTATGAGTCATCCGGGGGTCACTGGGTGTGTTCGTGAAAAGGCTCCTTTGCCAAAGACTGACCAAGGATTTGTCTGGTCACTAGCACAACTCAGACCTGCCTGCAGTTCTGCTTTTTTGGTGCTTCCAGTGGTGTATCCACTGTCATCAGTTAACTCCCCCATCTGCCAAGGAAAACAAGCTTCTACAGAGAACAGGTCCAAGGATTTCACCTTGCTGTCTTCTTTTTGCTAAAGAGACTGATGCTTCTTTATGAAAGGATGCTTTGCTGCTGGTTTGTGGAATTATGCTGCAGAGAATGGAAATCATTTAGATTGATTAGACCCCCTTCCACCAGTAAACCCACAGCTCTCAGGTTGGGGCTTGGGCTTGTGGGGGTGACAGGAATGTTCCATGCAAGTCTGGGAGGAGGATGCTTGGATACTCCAGGGAAATACCATGAGCACTTTCCCTTGAGAGAAAGGTAATGTGCCCTGGGAGTTGCTTCTGAAGTCGTTTTCTAAGTCTGTAGCTTTACAGAGCCACTTCTGGGCTGGGGGTGGGAATGATAAAGGAGGAACTTAGTATTTGTTTGGTGAGGAAGTCAGGGATGAAAAAGCCCCCAGTGTATATCTGTAATTTCAAGCTATGATAAGCGATGTCTTCTTTGGTTTCTTTCAGCTTCAGCATTTGGTAGATCTAATTTGAAGTGAGTTCCAGAGAGGAAAAGACCAGGTAGACAAAAATGTGAGTAGGCAGGATGTGATGCTGCTCATCCTGCACTCAGGAGGCTGAGGCAAGAGGATTGCTGAGAGTTCAAGGCCAACCTGGGCTACAAAGTGAGTTCAAGGCCAGTCTGAGCTGCATAGCAAAAACCTGTTTAAAAAAAAAAAAAAAATCAAAAGTAGCAGGTAGGACTTTGAGAGAGCCTGAGGGAGGCGCTGTCATTCTTAGGTGTCTGTCCTCCTTGTCACCTGGGGTCATGGCCTCCTGCCCCCAGGTCCTGCCTCACTCCAAGGCTTCCTAGATCTTCAGTTTGTCCCTTGTATAGGCATATTGTCAACTGAGCCCTGACACTGTTATTCAACACCAAATATTTACTGAGTACCTAGCAAAGACCATGAATGGCTTTGTGTGGTTGGAATACATCTATAAACACAACGGACGGGTGCCTTTCCTTGTGGGGCTTACGTTGTAGAGGAGACAGAAAGTACACACTAAACACAGTAGATCAGAAGTTAACAAGGGGCCAGGGAGATGTCTCAGTAGAATAAGCACTTGCCTGGCAAGCACAAGGGCCTGCGTTCAATCCCTGATTCTGCAAAAAAAAAAAAAAAAAAAAAAAAAAGTTAACGAGTGCTGTGGAGAAGGAACAAATGAGCTGGGGAAGTGATCAGGAGCGTGGGTATACGTGGAGCAGTCAGGGCAGGCTTCGATAAGCCGATCTGAGCAGAAGCTTTCAGGAGTGAGCTGGGCATGTAAGTATCGGGGTACAGTCTGCCGGGAAGAGTAAACAAAGGTTAATGGCCTTAAGTGAGAGGACGACTGGGACTGGCTTGATTCAGGAGCCGCTAGCAGGCCAGGGAGCCTGAAGCAGGAGGAATGCGAAGCACTGTGGCCAGAAGAGTGCAGGCATGTGGGGGTGAAAGTAGCCGCAGCCTTGTTGGCCCTGCAAGACTCTGGCTTTCATTCTAGTGACGTGCAAAGTTAGGGAAGAGTTTTGAGCAGAAATGGCATGATCTTAGGCTTTAAGATGATCTGTCTGGCTACTGCGTTGAGAACTGATTATCAGGATGCAAGAGCTGGTAGGCACCAGTTACAAGGCTAAAGTCATTTTTTATTAATTTTATTGAAAAAGAAGTAGCAATGAGACACTTTCAAAACAGGTTAGTAGGACAGTTACAACAATTAATACATTGTGTATTGTCTTCATAGTAGTTATTCATAGTACGAGATGCAGACATGATATCTTGTCTAAACACTATTGGTACAAATCTTTCTTCTCATTGAACTAAGAGAAAGTAGCTGTATATCTATCCTAACTATTATATATATATAGTTTAGTTTTGTCAGAGATGGGTATACCGTTGCCATTCAAATATTGTAGATGCATGAATTCAGCAAAATAATCCAACATAGTCCAGTAGACCATAATAGCAGTGGGTTATCCACAGAACTGGCCATGTCAGAAGTTCTTGACTTGAGCCTTTTACAGCTCAGCATATTAATATGGCTTTACTTTTTATACCTCGTGTTTATACTTTTCTGCTGGATGGTTAAGACCAAGATAAAGCAAGACCTATATAACAAAAAAAAAAAAAAGTAACTTTTGTATCTGACAAGGTCAGTCAAATCCCCTTAGGATTTACCCTGAAACCTTGCAGATCTTTTGTCAGTGTCAAGGTCTAAAGTCTTTTTTTTTTTTTTCGGAACCGGGGATTGAACCCAGGCCCTTGTGCTTGCCAGGCAAGTGCTTATTCTACTGAGCTATCTCCCTGACCCAAGGGCTAAAGTCTTGAAGCCATTTTTTTCATGTGTTTGATACAGGGTCTTACTATTCAGCTTGGACTCATAGTGATCTTCCTGTTTTCAGCCTCCCCAGTGCTGGGATTACAGGCATGTGCCACCACGCCTGGTCTTGGTGGCCAGCTCAGTATGCCCTGGGGTATGGCTGGCATGGCAGGCGGTGCCAGGATTAAACCCCAGTCCCTGCGCTTGCCTAAGCAGGCACTTAGTTTGCTAAGCTATCTCACTGACCCCCTTTGAAGATAATTTTGATCCCCATCTTTGTAACTGTTAACTCTACCCAAACACCCAGATGCTGCACGCTGCAGACCGGGGCTTCCAGTGAGGGCCTCTCTGGCTCCTGGGATCCTGACCAATGGCAGACTGGACTCCTCAGTGCTCAGAGTACCTCAGGCTGGAATCCCCCCATGAGATATGCAGAGTGTGCCCCGTTCATGTCACTTCCATCGCTACCACTGTCTCTGAGCAATCCAGGATATTCAACCTGAGCAAATAGAAGCAAAGGGCTGCCATTTACTGAAATATGAAAGGTTGTGAGAAGAGCAGATTTTGAGAGGAAAATAAGCTGAGTTTTGAGAATGTTGAAGTGGGATATCTATTAGATACTCAACTGGAGCAATCAAATACACCATATCAAACAATCAAGTATACCATACAATTTGAAGTTTGTGAGAGAGAGCTGGCTACAGCTAGGCTCTGAAAGGAGAGGAGGAACTAGCAAAGGAGGTATGGAGAGAGAACATCAGCGATGTTGAACTAAAACCAAGAGAACTAAGAGCTCTGGAAAGCAAAGTAAAAAATTATATAAGTGAGACAGGGGAAACAGCTCACATCAAATGCTGCAGATGGGTTAAGATCTGACTGTTGGATTTGGTAGCATGGAGGTCACCGTGGCCTTAATAAGAGTGACTAAAGGGGAGCGCTGGGGCAAGACTGACTGGCATGGGTGTAAGATAATGGGGGAGATGGAGAGAGAAGAACTGGAAATCACAAATGTGGGTTATTGGGGTAACACTCAGGAGTGAGTGAAGCCCAGGTATTCCTTCCCTCTTCCTGGGTTGGGAGTGTGCCAGTCAAAGGGCGGCAGAGAAGTGGGAGTGCCCAGAGGGCCCCGCCATGTGAGGTTGGGTCCCTGAGCCGGCTGAGTTGCTGGAGTAGTTGCAAACTTCAACTATTTCTTACACACTCCACCCCAAGATACTTGGGGGGAAAAGCAAATGTGACCTTCCACCAAGGCCTGTCTAGCCAAAGCTCTGGCAATGGGGAGAAAGACACCCTGGATCACCCACGACACGTGATACAGGGACACGGGGGCGGGGGGAGGCGAAGGTTTTGGAGGTGTGGTTCAAATTGGTGAAGTGGAAATTTAAATTACTTGCCTGCCAATCTTGGTTCAGACAAAACCAGGCATCTGCCAACAATTTTCACCTACTTTCTGTATCTATGTTGCTAAAAACCAGGAGCAGAGAGCACTTCTGCCAAAACCATTGAGTTTTGCTAGTCTCAAAGCACAGCTGGAGACAACCTTGTGTAAGACAGGGGACCAGTTCTTCCCTGCCCCCTCCAGGTCCTTCTTTGGATCCTCCATCCCTTAAGACCCTGATCCTGGGTGCTTTAAGCCTGGCCCTTCAGCCAGAACCTCCTTGGCAGGATGCCTGGGCCTGGAGTCTCCGCATGGGGCCACAGCATGTGGCAGCACTGCAGCTGGGCCTCTCAGAAATAGGCACAGTGGTGGGAAAGGACAGAGGGAGGCTCCTCTCAGCTCTGAACTCTGAGGGGAGAGTGCGCAGGGACGCCAGGAGAAAGAGGACTAAATGAGATCAAAGGCAACTATTAGTCTCGATTGTTTTGTAGCTAGTAAAGAATAAAGAGGCTTGAGAAGCACTCTTCTTCATCGGCCAGTAATTGCCATTTTTATAGTGTGTGACAAGCTGTTATCATTTTTGGTGCATTCCTGAATGCCCACCCTTAGTCAGGCCAGCAGCTGTTCTTGTGTTCTCTCTTCTGTTGCCCAAGGAGAATATCCGTTTATAATCTTTAACAAGTAGCTGAAATACAATAGGTGACACCACAGAATATGCTCCTTTGGAGAGGGGTGGCCCACTGAATGACTTTTCTATGGGAAAAAGGTAGCAGATTCTAGAATTCTGAGGAGACTTAGGTTGGGTGATTTGGGAGTGTAGACACCTGAGCACCATCTACAATCTTCAGGACTAATTCTGCTTTTTAATTTTTTTAATGTATTTGGTTGTTACAGGGTCTCACTACACAGCTCAGACTCTTGGTGATCCTCCTGTGTTTAGCCTTCCTGGTGCTGGGACATAGGCATGAGCCACTATGCCCTGGACTCTGGCCAGCTCAGCATGTCCTGGGGACAGGGCTGGCATGGCATGTGGTGCTGGGGACCCAACCATGGTCCCTGAGCTTGCCTAAGCTTGCCTCAGTGGGTACGTTAGTCCACTGAGCTATCTTGCCAGCCCCCCGATTTTTGTTTGTTTGTTTGAATACATTTATTGGATACGGGGTCTTGGGGCTGGGGATTTGGCACAGTGGTAGAAGCCCTGGGTTCAGTCCTCAGCACCAAAAACAAAAAATAAACCTCCCCTAAAAAATAAATAAACAAATAAATAAACCTCCCCTGGATACAGGGTCTCGCCTGGTACCAGGGTTTGAACTCAGGTCCTTGAGCTTGTCAGGTAGGTGCTTAGACCTCTGAGCTATCTCCTCAGCTCCCCTAATTCCACTTTTTGACTGTGGTAATGGGAAGGGAAAGAGGAAAAGTGGACCTTAGCACTCCCTGGATCCCTTTGGGTGCCATCTAGTCGGTGTGGACCCTGTCCTGGTGGCAGGCTACCTTGTGCTCAAAGAGGCAGAGAGCAGGCACAGCTGGCCATCTGGTTAAGCACTGGCTTAGTGTATTGGGCAAGAGCAGGCGCACTGATGTGGGAGGCCTTGAGCTGGACTGACGGGTGCTCTTTTCTTATGGGCGTTTTTGTTTGATGTTCTGGAGATTGAACCCAGGGACTCGTGCTTGCCAGCCAGGCGCTCTACCACTGAGCTACATTTACAGCCCTCCAATTTTTTTTTTAAATTCTATTTTTCCTCTATTTTATTTTGGATATGGAACCATATACTATGGTTCAAGTTTAATAGATAGAATTTTTCCATAGAGAGGTGGAGTCTCTCTTTGTTTCCCAGGGTACTCTCGGGCTTCTAGGCTCAACCGGTTCTCCTACCTCAGCCTCCTGAGTGGTTAGGACTAGAGGCATGTGCCCCTGTGCCAGGCAAGCCAACTGATCCCTTCACCAACATTTTCTTTGGAGGGTGGTGTTGCTAGAGCTCCAACCCAGGGCTTTGGTCATGACAAGCACGTGCTTCACCACTGAGATACACACCCAGGCCCTGGCCCAGCCCCTCTACTAATCCTTTCTTCTTTACACCTCTTGACACAAATTCATTCAGTGTATTTTTTTTTTTAATAAATGTCACACATTGTAGTTTTACCTCTAGCAGTTTTATTTATTTCCTCTGTCTTTCATGTCTTTAACTTTTTGTAATACTGTATATGTAATATAATTACAGTAACTTTAAAAGGTCTTTATCTGCTATTTCTAACATCTGTGCAAGTTATGGGTCAGAGTTGGTTTATCTATTTACTATGAGTAGCATTGTTCTACCTTGCATTTTGATATTTTTTTAAATTGGATTCCAATCTTGGCAAAATTTTTTCGGTATTCACTGCTAGATAGATGATTTTTTTATTCCTACAAATATCCCACACTCCAGCCCCCTTTTGTCAATATTGGGGTACATGAGGACCCTTGAGCAACCTCCCTAGCCTTTTTTTAAAATTTTGGTGCAAGGTCTTGCTAAGTTGTCCAGGTTGGCCATGAACTTTCTCAGCCTCCTAAGTGTCTGGAACCGCAGAAGATTTCTATAAATATTCTTGAGCTATGTTTGGGTATCAGTGAGTACTCTTGATCCTTTTGCATCTTATTGTAAATAACTGTCAGGTAGGACTGGAGTGGCGTTCAGCCTCAGGCTAACTATACTCTGCCAAATGTTGGGTGAGTCTTGAGATCATTCTATCTGGCTTCCTGGCACATACACTGTATGAATACAATAGATTGAAAATTTTGCATTAGTTCTTTCCCCTATTTCAATTTCTTTTCCCACAGATATGTGCTGAGCAGCACTTAGCTGAAAGCTTGAGATATCCTGTGCAGGTGTCTGGGTTTTCCTGTCTTGGAAGTCCCCTATTACCTGGATTCTATGAGCTCACCTGTCCATTATGGCAGCAGATGGAGACCCATGGCAGAAAAAACACCAGCATTTTGGACATCCATGGTCTAGTCTCAGCCAATGATTGTGAAAAGAGAAACAGAAAGATTACTAAAGGGAAACCTGATGTCAAGTTACTGAAATCCCCATCTGCCTTTAAGAGTAATACTTTCTTTGAAAGGAATTGTGGACTGTGGGCTGTGCTACGGGTCCTGGATAATTACCCTTCAGTGACCCCTTGGCGACTGCCATGCATGGTGGTGTGATTTAGGTGGTCCCCAGCTGGTGCTCATTGGAGAGCAAAACTTAGAAGGAATAGATTGAAACTGAACAGTGAAAAGAGGCATGGGCTGTGTGGCTTCTAGGTAACTGTAGGTGCAGCTGTGGTCCTAGATGTCCAGCTAGCCGTCTCCTGCAGCGCTGCATGCTCCCCACCCCTTGGTTCCTCACTGGGCGTGTGGATGTTGATGGGGAAACGTGACATGGACCACCACATGGAAGATGTTGTCAGGTGTTGACAGCTTGTTTTCTGCCCACAGGTGCCTTTTTCATCCCCTACCTCATCTTCCTCTTCACCTGTGGCATTCCTCTCTTCTTTCTGGAGACAGCACTGGGCCAGTACACGAGCCAGGGGGGCATCACAGCCTGGAGGAAGATCTGCCCCATCTTTGAGGGTGAGTAACTTTGCAGCTGACTCCAGGGTAGCTTCATGAGTGTGGACAGACCGTATTTGGGGTGACTGAGTGGGGAACAGCAGTTCAGAGGTTAAAATGCGACTCCGAGCCTCTGGTAAGATTGGCTCATGGGGGTCAGGGAGATGGCTCAGTAGAATGAGCGCTTCCCTGGCAAGCGCAAGGGCCTGAATTCAATCCCCAGTTCCGCAAAAAATAAAAAAAAAATCAAATAAATAAATAGCGCATGGACTAAAAACAGAGCTAGTCACCCTCATCAGAGGATGAAGCCATAATAGAAGTGAAGAAGGCAAAGGCAGTAGGTAAGTAAGTAGATAAGTAGAGCTCAAAGCTATTTTTAGCTGTAGGTAGCATAAATATATTGCAATAGGTTTGCTTTTTTTTTTTGCAGAACCGGGGATTGAACTCAGATCCTTGCGTTTGCCAGTCAAGCGCTTATCCTACTGAGCCATCTCCCCAGCCCCTGGGTTTGCTTTTAAAGTTATTCTGCCAATTGTAAAACATTTTGCCAATTTACTAAAAGTCATTTTACCAATTCTAAGACATTTACAAATACCTTTATTAAATATTTTGTATTTTTAAAGAGAACACAAAAAATAGTAAAATAAAAAAAATAAAAACCAAACCCACATTAGCAATGGTATAGAATGTCACTAGAAAAAATGAAAGGAACTCAGCCGTTATTGTTTTATTGCATATTGTTGTCTTCAAAGTCGTTGTTCAGATTACCAGATATGAACCTGTAAAATTGGTCAAAAAATTGTAAAAGATTAAAAAAGGAAAGAGAAAAAGTTTAAGCATTAACTGCTCCTTTCAGCAGACCTGCAGAAATCAGCAGTATAATTATCCAAGTTATCCTGTATATATATATATTTTTTTTCTTCCTTCTTTCTTTCCTCCTCTCCCTCATCCCAGTTGTTCCTTCCCTTTGAACAGTTTCTTTCCCTTTCACAGTATCCACTGGATATTTCACATCCTGTTTCCTCGTCAGGTTCTTACACTAGGGAGACAGTACAAAAAATGTAAATGAGAAAAACTTTCACTAATCGTTCTATCATCTTGACACGGTAACTGTAATTTTTATGGTGTTTCATTTCATTGTTTCTCGCTAGATAGGACTTTCTCTAGATTTTTATTTCAGAATAACCATAGATTTTCAGGAAATTACAAAGCTAGTACAATGAAGTCCTGTGTATCCTTTGTTTAGTCTGCCCCACTGCCAACATTTTGTACAACTGCAGTACAGTGGAAATGCTGGGGTGCTGGTGTGGTGGCACCACAGACCTATCGAGGCTTCAGGAATTCCCCATTGTCTCGCTCATGTATGGAGGTGTAACCCTGTGTAATTTTGTAAGAAATGTAAATTGGACAATCACTGCCACTCCTCAAGGCTGCTACTGGCCCCTCACTATTCAGGTCTCCCCCACACTACCCTCTGTCCTCACGTTCAACACTACCCCTCCTATCCCTGACCTTTTGCCACCTCTATTCTGTTGTTTATCTGGAGTTTTGCCATTTTGAGAATGTTGCATAAAGGGACCCATGAAGACTAGCCTTTTTTTTTTGTGGTACCAGGGATTGAACTCAGGACCTTGCACTTGCCAGGCAAACACTTATCCCACTGAGCTATCTCCCCAGCCCCAGTAGCCATTTGTGATTGGCCTTTTGCTCTGCATAATAGCCTTCACATCCACCAACCTGTTCAGTTTCTTTCACAAATCAGTGACAGTTCATTGATTTTTCACTGGATAGACCGCAGATTTTTAGCCATTCACAGCATTGGGCTGTTCCAGTGTGGGGGCTTTTTTATCTTTCTTTCTACAGACTTTATAATATGGAATAAGCACAGTTTATATTCTTTTTGCAATTAGTTTTATTTTCCACTTTCTACATAATACTCACTTAATAATTCTTAAATTTTCATCTGTGGAACTTAATAAATAAGCTGCTTGAGCATTTTGGTTACTTTCTCTTGCTTGTAAATTTTCTATATTTTGCTTGTATTTGTTTAGGTAGCTTCTCTACCTTTGGAATTATTTCTTTTTTAAAATTTTATTTCAAATTAAAATTTTGGCTTTTCTTTATTATCATTACTTCTGTTTGCCCACAAATTCTGCAGTTCACTTCTAACTCACATGCTAAAGTTTTGTTTTAAAAAGAAAAAACTAAAGCAAAGACAACAGCAACAAGAAAAATAATGCAGAATTTCAAAACAAAGTGATAGGAAATTAACAATAGTAGTTATATTATACATTCTTATCTTCACAGTAGTTGTGCAGATTGCCAGACACGGGCATGTGAGACTGATCGAACAAGCATTCACTGTGCCTTTCAACAAACCAGTAGACATCAGTAGTACTTCCTTGGGATAAATTTCCAGGATTAGGAATACTGCATGCAAATGGACAATCAACTTGGCACCCTTGATCTGTTTCATTATGTTGTACTAATGACACTGAAGGTGACAATGACACTAGATGCGAGTAGCATCTTTCTCTATATCTTGAGCAACTCTGGATTCTTTGGTGGATCTCAAACCTCAGTCACTGAGACCACCAGGACCTTCTACTTACTCTGTGGCCCAGGTTCCATCTTCAGAGGCTGTGATCTCAACGGTCTGGGGTCTGGCCTAGTTTTGAAACATTGTAGATGCCCTGGGCCCTTCTGATATGTAGGCAGTATGGAAAGCCCTGAGTCACACCCTTTGTAAAAATGTTTTCCAATGTTGTAACTGCAGAATGGTGTCTTATCACTGTGTCATTTTACACACCTGTAATGAACGAGGATGAATATTATATTTTAAAGGTGTTGATTCACGATTTGCATTTCCTTCTATGCAAATTTTCTCTGATTGTGTGGTTTTTATGTTTCAAAAAATATATCAGATTAATTCTGAGGCCTGTTAACTATCCTATTATGGAGGTAGTCTTACCTATTTAAAAAATAACTGGATCAGTGACTTTTCAGAACCTGATGGAAATGAGACGGCACAGGAAGAGGGCCAAGGGCAACAGAGGACAGGAGACAAGCCCCCACCTGGCCTGGGAGCAGAGGGCCAGGGCACTTCTTGCTGAAGGACCACAGAGCCGGAGCAGGGTCAGAGGAGAAATCTGTACCCCATGCCTGGCTCAACTCTACTGTCCTCCTCCCAACCCTTCCCTCCCCCTCCCCCTCCCCGACTCCCCCCCCACCCCACCTCCTGCAGGCATCGGCTATGGCTCCCAGGTGATTGTCATGCTCCTGAACATCTACTACATCATTGTCCTGGCCTGGGCCTTCTTCTACCTCTTCAGCAGCTTCACCACTGACCTGCCGTGGGGTAGCTGCCACCACGAGTGGAACACAGGTGAGGTCCCTTCAGACTCCCCTTCCCCCACTTGCTCTGCTGCATAATCAGGAGTGCAATTGTCCCTCTGTCCCAGGAAACCCAGTCCCTGTGGTTACTGACTAGGAACTGGCCAAGAATATCAAGGAGAATATACACCTCGAGGGGAAGAGCGAGGAGCTGTAGGGCGCTTGCCTTGCCTGTGTGTGTAGCTGTGGCTTTGATCCCCCGCACAGCAGCAAGATAGCTGAGAACTCACTAGTGTTGCAGGCAAAATGTCCCAGACCATTTGCTTTAAAAAATAAATTGATATATTCAACTCATGTATTATGTAAATAGAACTCATTTTTTAAAAAAGTTGAGTTTAGCCCTTTATTTCAATTTGAAATATGACTGATTTGATATATGTACTTATTATTTGTTCATTTGTTTGCTTCTTGTGTCTTCTTTGTGGTGCTATTTTAGGTTTTCATTTCAAATTTATAATTTCTCTTGGCTTGACTAGGGAATTAACTGTTTTATATGTCATCAGTGTAATTTATAACAGCAATTAACTTCTCTGCTTGTAAAACTGCGTGGGCCACTTACAGCGACAGAGCCTTTGTATTGAAAGTAATGACAACAAAAATATCTAGGTTAGGTCTGTTCAAAGGGTTGTCTCTGAGGATGGCCAAGTCCTCTGTCCAACAGTGGCTACTGAGCAACATGACACGTGGCCAGTGTGTCCAAGGGACAGGATTTTTCCTAAATCTAATTGAAACGCCCCCATGAAGTCATGACTGCCCTGTAGGAAAGCAGGCTGGCCACTGTGCTGCTTAGAATCCTAGCTGCATCTTGCTGTCTTTGTCCACATACCTTTCAGTGCTTGTCTACAAGATTACTGTTTTGGAAGAGGAATAGTTAGGTAAGTTACTGAGTTCTGAACTAGATTTTGAAGCTGTTACTTACCAGGGAAAATGTTCCTGCGGGGCTTAGTCTGTGTACTCCTGACCTGCCCACACCTCTCCCTCCTGCTCCTCAAACAGTCCCCTCCCCATGGTGCCTGCTCCCTGTCCAGGCTGTGCTTGCCCTCCCTGGAACCCTGCATCCCATCACCCTGTGCCAGGTGAAGAGTTAAATTGGGCTGGCACCCCACCTGGCTGTTCCTGTATTGACCTTTGCCTTGAATGGCAGGTACGGATCTTTTTGTCTGCTGATTGAGTAGTTTTCCTACCAGGTGTCAAGAGCTGGAGGCAGAAAATCTCCTTATTGCTGTGGCCTTTATGTCTAGCACAGTGTCGGCTGCCTCATGTGGTCTCAAGAAATATTTATTGACTAAAAGTTTTAAAAATCTGTTCTATTCTAAAGTTGTTGTCTGTGTGCTGGTTTGTTTATAACTATGTATGTTGCATCACCCTTGACAACCAGCTTGCCAGATAGTGAATATTTTATCCAGACCTCAGTAGAGTGACTTAATACAATCAAACAAGGCTCTGTGGCAAGACCCTTTGACTTAGGGCAAGATCAGGCTTATCTGCCTTTGGGTTTGTTGGGAGTCTTTGATGCAATTCTGGGGCAAACCAGATGACTAAAGCTTTTGCTTTTTGACATTTTTAACACCGCCTAGCAGGCCTAGTTTTGCTTAGAGCCTAGTGTCATGAATAGTATGGGCCCACCTGTCCTGTCAGGATGAAATGATGCTTTTCTTCCATAGGAAGATGCTATGGTTCTGTGGAGAGAGCCCTGCCCTGGCCTTCAGCCCTTCAGCAGGTGCTTATGGAGGTCCTGCTCTGTCCGACTCTGTTCTAAGCACCGGGGTAGCTAATGGCCAAAATAAAGATCCATATCTCTCTGTAACTATTATTCTAGCTACTGAGACACACCATGAACAAAATAAAAGAGTAATTATGCATCACAATAGAAAGTAGATGTATTCTAGAAGCACTGTGGAGAAGAATAAAGCAGGGTTGGGTTTGGGAGTTTTGGGGGTGTGGTGTGATCTTAAATAGGGTAATAAGGAAAGGCCTGATTGAGATGACTTTGAGAAATGATTGAAGAAGGAGGGGGAATAAGAACTCAGTGACCTATCCAGCTACTGAGCAGAAGGACATGTTAGAAGAGGAGTGGCAAGTGCCGTGGCCCTGAAGTGCACGGGGTTACAGAGTAGGACCAGCAGGGGTGCCAGTGTGGCTAGAGAACAGTGACAGGAAGTGAGGTCAGAGGTGCTGGGGTGTGATGTGGAGTAATATAGGGTTTAGCAAAATCACCCTGGTTACTAAACAGAAAGCTGACAAAAGAAGAAAGGGCAGGAATCGGAGGCCAGCAAGGAGCTGTGAGGCGGTGGTGACCTGCAGCAGGACGCTGGTGGAGGGCAGAGTTGTGGTGTTCTGAGGTAGAACCTACACAGCTTGCTGGCCTGAATTCCAGGTTGCTCAGCTATAGGTGAGCCGTAACAAGTCATGTCTAAGAAGATTCATTTTTTTTTCATTTGTACAATGGAAAAAGCAGCATCTGTCTTAATACTTCCCAGGATTATTACGTGGATTAAATATTAAAAAAGAAAGTCAATGCTTAGTGGCACTCCACAGTGACACAGAAATAATGAGGAGCCACCAGTTGCCAGGCACTACACATTCGTGTCCCATCTGTCTCGGTTACTGTTCTCATTGCCAAGACAAGACACCCGACAGCCGGAGTTAAAGGAGGAAAGGTTTTTATTCAGGTCACATTTGTAGAGATTTCGGTCAAAGGCAGGGTGGCTTGGCAGGGAGGCACGCAGAGGGGACACAGTCTGTGGCAGGCAGAAGACACCGAAAGCAAGCAGCCAGCAACAAGCAATGAGAGCACACTAGTCCCCTTTCTGTCCCTTGTATTGTCTTCAGCCAGGGTGGGGTGCTTCTAATCCTGTCTATGCCAAACCTACCAGTGGACTGATTTAGTAATCACGCCCCCTTGATCTCAGCACCGCACACCCTAGATCCAGCCACCTCTGAAAAAACCGCCATCTATGACCACATGAAGCTTTGGGGGGGACATCTAGACACCAGCCTGAACTTCATCCTACCCCCTCCCAGTCCTCTGGATAGATGGTGGTATCTACATTTTAGAGATCAGTGAAATAACACTGGTGATGTCAAATGGTCACTTACCTAAGGCCACACATTTGGTTCCCAGAACCCTGGGATCTGAGCCAGAGGGCTCTGACCCTGGGCCGAGCTCTTGGCCGCTCTGCTGTATCGCTTCCTTGGAGGCCTGTCCTGTTTGCCAAGGCTGTGACTCCTCCCGGGACAGTGTCCTGGAAAGATTTGCTGACTTGGAAGCAGCTGGCACGTGGAGCACATCCCCTAGGGCCATCTGGCCATGCTTTACTGAGAATATGCATGCAAACACAGCCCACAGTATGTCCGTGTGGGGAGGTGAGGTGGGTCGGCTGCCTTGAGCACACACAGGAGGAGGGTGCACAGACTCCAGTAGAGCTCCTGGATGCCGCCCTTCCATTCTCCTATCCATCCAGCCCTGTTGAGGTGACTGTTGGCTCATGTCTTTTTCTTCTTTCCGGGGACCCGGGAGTAGAGAACTGTGTGGAGTTCCAGAAGACCAATGGCTCCCTGAATGTGACCTCCGAGAATGCCACCTCCCCTGTCATCGAGTTCTGGGAGTGAGTGAGACCCTCTTTCCTTCTGAATGTGGGCTGTGTGTTCCAAAGTCAGAGAGGGGTGGATTCCCAGTGGGCCAAAGGGGAATTTTCATTTTCTTTTGTCCCAGCCTGCACTGAGGGTTCCGTTGTGCTGTGTATGTGGTTAGCAGGGGGCTGGCTTCAGAGATGCCCATGAAGCCTTCTCCCCACATTAGGGAGTACACGTGTGTGCATCCACACTCCTGGCCACCTTCCCTGCTCCTGCTCTGTTGCCTCTTGTGGCTCCCTTCCACATATCAAAATGTCCCATAAGCCTGACTGAGAGAATGGCCATTTGTACATCCTTCCCCATGTTAGACCAGGCCTTGGGGGACATTCCCCAAGGCAGTTTATGTTCACCAAGTTTTATGTCTAGCTTCATCCCTGGGCAGAGGAAGCCTCACAGATCTGACAGGCCTTAGACAAGAGTAGACTGGTAGCTGGTGGGCTCCACAACTGTGGCTCAGGGCTGGGGTATAGATCTGTGACACAGTGCTTGTCTAGCTTGTGCAAGGAGGTCCTGGTGTCCATCCCAGTGCTGCAGAAAGAAAGAGAAAAGGAAGTTAGGGAGGGAGGTGGGGAGAGAGGGAGGGAGGAAGAAGACTCAAGGCTGGAGGCCAAAGTGAGGCAGGTCTGATGCTTCTCTCCCAGGAGGCGGGTCCTGAAGATCTCTGATGGCATCCAGCATCTGGGGGCCCTGCGCTGGGAGCTGGTCCTGTGCCTCCTGCTCGCCTGGGTCATCTGCTACTTCTGCATCTGGAAGGGGGTCAAGTCCACGGGCAAGGTCTGTTCAGGAGAGCTTCCAGGTGCCCCTTGGTGTGGCTCAGTGAGGGGAATGACCCTACAAAGATTTTAGGTGGTCCCCTTCCTTGATCCTGGGCCTTTCCTGGATTCTGTCCCAACTACTTCTGGGAAGTAAAGTGGGATGGAGAAAGCCTGGAAGGACACCTGCAGAGTGTGCCATGGAATGTGCCACTTACGTGAACGCACTGTAGCCTCTCTATCTCACAGAAGAGTTTTGTGGGTAAGGAGCGCCTGTCACACTCTTCACCTCAGCATGACTCTTCACCAACTCAAGAGTGTTGGGGTCTCTATGCCTTGGACTGTCTGAGGTATTAGAGGGCATCTGAGCGCTTTTGGACTCAAGCCCTGCAGGCCTCTGCTGAAGCTTCCATCTTAATTTGGCTGCCTGGTTGTGCTACGCTCCTAAACTCTGTGAGGGAGAGGCCATGGGGTATAGATATTTCCACATGTGACAACCCTTGCTGTAATTCCACATACTTGCTAGGAGAACAATTAAGTTCTTTCAGACACTCAACAAATACTGGATGTGTGTGGGTAGAGCTAGTGTTCTGAGCTGGAGGGAGGAGAGGGGGAGGGGAGATGGACCAGAACAACTGCAGGGGAGACAGAGGCCCAAGAGGGGGTCCCCCGGCTCCCCTGCCCTTGGGTGGAGGGAATATCTGTTTTCCTGCCTGCTGCCAATGATGGCTTCTGGGCCCCTCCTTCCTCCCTCACACTGCCTGACCGCTCTACCGGATCTCTTACCTGCCCTGACCAGGTGGTGTACTTCACAGCCACCTTCCCGTATCTCATGCTGGTGGTCCTGTTGATCCGAGGGGTGACACTGCCTGGGGCCGCCAAGGGAATTCAGTTCTACCTGTACCCTGACCTCACACGCCTGTGGGATCCCCAGGTAAGAAGGTACAGACCAGCGCTGCCATGGGGAGGGGGTGGTGCTTGAGCTGCAGGCTTTCCTGGGCTCTACTGGGGAGCCCCCCGGGTGTCTGTGATGATGGTGAGGTGGCCTCCCTCCTGCACACATTGGTGAGCAGTGGCCTATGGGTCTACAGTGTCCGCCCCTCGGGGCTGAGACCCTAGGGATATTTCTTAGCGACTGCGAATATGTCACTAACATCATTATTCAGAGGCTGTATTCCCTCCCACCCCATCTACCCATTTTCCTCATTTCTGCAGTTTTTGTATTTCCAACCACGCCCATTTTCTCTCCCTTGTGTAGCACTCTCTGGTGCCCTCCCTCTGCCCATGTGACCCCTGCTTTGGTCCCATGTCCCCAGTCCCTCCTGGCCTAGTAAAGCTGGTGTTAAGTTTCCCAGAGGTGTCTCTTCTTCTGTTACTCTACGCATGCCCTTTGCTGCAGCCAGCCCAGCAGGACAATGCTGCTTGCAGGTCGGAGGGTGTGGAGCACAGGCCTCGCCTCTGACAGGTGTCTCTTCTCCTCTGTGGCAGCCATCCCGAGAGCTGGCCAAGTTGGGGGAGCGTGGGTCAGCTCCAGCTCCAGGGTGTGTGACTTTGCCTGGGCACCTGGCCTCTGCCTGCTGGGCGCTGAGGGGGCGCTGAGATGCTCCTCTGTTGGTGCAGTGCCTTCAAGGTCGGGCGTGCTTGGAAGATGGTCACGTGGCTTCTGCACAGTTAAGATAGGCCCTCACAGCCAGGTGCAGTGGTGCACACCTGTGACCCCAGCACTCTGGGAGGCTGAGGCAGGAAGATTCACAAATTTGAGCCCAGCTTAGCTGATTCAGTGACTTAGCAAGATCCCGTCTCAAAATAAAAAATAAACAAAGCCTGGGTATATAGTTCAGTGCAAAACCCTGCATTCAATTCCCAGGAATGAAAGCAAAAAAGTCACTAATGCTCTGAGGGGGCAAACAGACCAGGGAAGGACACACAGTTGAGTTCCCCCGAACCCTTAGGAACTCAGGTCCCACAGAGGCACGGCTTCTCTGGCAGAATGTGGGTTGATCCAGAAACTGGGCCGTTCTCCAGCAGAGCTATGTCTTCTGTTTTGACTTCAGGGACCGCATGACTCCCAGCAGCAGCCTTAGACGCCTGCCCATAGGGTCAGCCACGGTTCTGGCTGCTGCAGGAGCGGGGTGAGCTTGTCCTTCTTCACGCCCATTTCTCATGCTCCCTCCAAAGAGCATGAGGGCAAAGCCATGCCAGGAGCCAGAGCAGCTGAGGCTGGCGGGACCCCGGAGATCACCTAGTGCAGCCTCCTCACTGCATGGCCCAGTAACTGCAGCACACAGCGAGGAGGTGGCAGGCCCTACAGGGTGAATTTTTGTTTCTTGAATTATAAGCCTCTTGACTTACCTGGAACCAAAGGGTTGTGCTGCATGACAGGCAGCAAGCAGGAGGGGCAGTGGAGGGAAGGCTTGGAAAGACCAGCCGAGCGTCTGGCTCAGGTCTACCATGCAGGAGGAAGCTAGCAGGTAGGACTGAGAGAAGGGGCATGGCCAGAAGGAGAGAGAGAGAGGCCCAGTATTTATGGCCTTGCCACTTGTTGATGTGTACATCCTGCCTTTACTGATGATAAAAACTAAAGCTAAAGTGACAATGTGGATTTATAGGAAAAAGCTTTAATTTGCAAGCAAGAGAAAAATGAAGAAAGGACTCCAACTTGAGTCGTCCCTGGAAGGGACACATTGGTGAAGAAGATCAGATGGGCAGAGATCAGCTTTATGGGGTATATCCAGGCTGCAGTCCAGCCAGTCCCTATGCTGGGCATGGTGTGTAGCTCCAGAGGAAGCCTCATGAACAGAGCAATTTGGTTTCTGTGGAAGGAGTCGTTGGGTCCTGAAGGGCGGTCAGTCACGCAAGGCTCTGCTGGAATGGTGGAATCCAAGGAGAACACAGGTTTGGGGCAACCAAGACTTCCCAGTACAAGCGTTCTCAGTCTTGATGGGCGATGAGATAGAATAGGTGAATTTAGTGCTAACAAATCTTGTTTTGCCAACTTTTAGACATTGCATAAATGACTAGCAGGCCTACATGAGAGCTGATGGGGATTCGGCTCAGAGATTCATAAAATGAAGTTTAAGCTCTGTTTTGTTTTTAGTTATCTTTTGGGCATTGGTAGATCCAAGAGTCATGATTTCTATTAAAAACTAAACTGAACTGAACTAAAGTAAAGTAGTTTTAAGTCCTGGTCTATTCTCTCTCTCTCTTTCTGTCTGTCTCTCTCTCCCTCCTCCTCTCTCTCTTTCTCTCCTCTCTCTCTTTCTCCTCTCATGTTTATTTTATTTTAATTTTTATTTATTTTGGCAGAGCTGGGGATTGAGCTCAGGCCCTTGCGCTTGCCAGGCAAGTGCTTATTCTACTGAGCTATCTCCCCGGCCCCTCTCTCTCTTTTTTAAATTAGTTAAGCCTATTGGTACATTCCAAGAGTCCCAGTCTATCTTAGAAACAAACCTACATCCTGCTTTTAATGACTGACAGGTTAAGGGCCCAGGAATTTGTCCTTTGCTCCTCTAGTGCTCTCTGACTATGTCATGACTATGTCATGACGGTGTCAGCTTTGTCCTGACCAGCTCTTTAGAGCCAGAGCTCACTATGTTATTGGCATTGTTAAGAGGTTTGCATGCATTATTTCAGCTAATCCTTCTGGTAGATCATTGAGGGACACCCCCACCCCCTTGTAGATAAAGAACTGAGGTTCAAAGAGTTCAGAAATTTTCTCTTTTCATACCTGCAGTAGGAACCACATCTAAATACCATGTACTTGGTGATCTCTGTCTCTATCTCCATCACTCTGTCTCTGTCCCTCTACCACTAAGACAGACTTTCAGCCACTTATTCTATTGTTGCTGTTAATATTATTTTGTAGCACTAGGGGTGGAACCCAGCCAGGCCATTTATGCTGGGCTACTTCCCCAACCCTTTACAAATTTTTTTTTCTATTGCTTCTTTTTTTTTCAAAATTTTATTGATAAACAGATAGCAATGAGACAGTTTCAAATCAAATCGGCAGTTTCAACAAATAACACACTGCATATATTCTTCTTAGCGGTTAATTGCTGTACAAGATGCGGACTTGTGATCCTATTTACAAACACCATTAGAACAAATCATTCTATTCATTAAGAGAATGCTATATATCTATCCTAACCACTTTGAATACACAGATACAAAATGGACATTCATCGGTATACCCCTTTTTTTCTAAGTTCCGTTATTGAATATTATAGGTGTGTAAACTCATCAAAATATTCTAAAAGAGTCCAGTAGCCCATAATAGCATTGGGTCTTCTGTTTAACTGGCAATGTCAGAAATTATTGACCTGAGTCCCCCACAGCTCAACATAACAGCATGGCTTTACTTCCTATACTTCGTCTTCATACTTTTCTACTGGATGGTTAAGACCAAGGTAAAGCAGGACCTGTGCAACAAGAGTTGTAGCTTTTGGGTCTGAGAAGGTCAGTGAAATCCCCTCAGGATTTATCCTGAGATCCTGTACCTCAGATTGTAGAATCTTTGTCAGTGCAGCCATGTGGATGACTCACGGCCATTGCCCTTTACAAATTTTTTAGAAAATTTAATTTGATACAGGCTTCTGCTAAGTTGCTCAGGCTGGGTGTAAACTCGTGATCCTCCTGTCACAGCCTTCCAGAGTATTGAGATCACTGGCTTCTTTTTTAATATTTTATTTGAGACAGGGTCTTGCTGACTTGCCCTGCCTCGCCTTGAGTTTGTGATTCTCTTGCTTCAGCTTTCCCAATAGCTCGGCTTGCAGTCATGGGCCACTCACGGTACTGGCTTGTGAGTTCTTGAATGTAAGGTCTCTGTTGCTGTCACAACTCACACACTCATCAAAAACGTGTTAGGGTCTATTATGTACCAGGCCTGTCCTAAATGCAGGAGCTGGTACATAATAACTTTTATCCATTGCACACAAAAATGGGTCAGAAAATTAATAAGGCTATGGCTCTGTGTCTGGGTGACCGCAGGGAATGTGACTTAATCTGCACCCTGGACACCATCCTTCCCACCCCGGCCGCTGCAGGTAGCCCAGGGAACAAAGTCTTCCAAGTGCTTCGCGACTCGGGGAGGGAGCCGTTTCAGATGCAGCCTGTGCTTGCTCCCATGCTGACAGGAGGCTTTGTCATCAGTGAGCCCAGCAGCACCTGCAGGGGGTTTACCCAGCAGAGCCCTAATTGAGTCTAGTTGGCACTCCCCAGGAAGTGTGACAATTCCAACTGGCATTTGCCTGGCACTCCAGAGAGGTGCAAAATCCCTGCTAGCAACATAGAGACCAAGGACATCTCTGTCTGCCAAGCACTGAGGCTGCGGCCAGGAGCCAGGCAGAGGCAACGCTGTGCTCCTTTATTCTTTCTGCCTTTCCCTTGCCAGGCGTGCTGCATGCTGGGCTCACTGTCATCTTTCTTCCTGGGGACTCAGGGTTTGCCTATTTTGTTCAGACCCGCTCCCCCCACTTCATCCTAAACTTTCATTACACTGAAGTTTGCTAAATGGGCAAGGAGGAGGGTGGGAATAGAGTGACCCAAGAGCCCTACTGAGCCCTTTAAATTCTGATATTAAGCAACTCCAATGTATGCTTTGCCTAAGGAGGAGGCAGAAACCACAACTCGGGACTAGTCTTTGTAGTTTGTACAGCTTGCTGAAATTGATGCAGCCTCATGAGTACTGAAAGGCAAGGCGCAGGAACTGGGTTCGATCCCTGGCCTGCTGTGCTGGCCGCACTCCCAGGGCACAATGAGATGGCGACTGAGACTGGGCGTGGTGGTGTGCGCCTGTAATCCCAGCGCTTGGGAGGCTGAAAACAGGAGTATCACTGAGTCTGATCTGTGGAGTGAGACCCTGTAGACCGTATACTAAAATACATAAAAACAAATAATAATAATAATAAGAATAAGAATAAGAATAAGAATAGCAGT